GCTGCGGTTCAGAAACGATAAACAAGCAGGAATCAGGAGTCAGGAATACAGAATCAAGGGTCTGAATGCTGAGGAGTCATAAAAACAGGTCTGAGCTCTGGGAAGCGCACTAATAACTGAGCACTGTGGTCTCTGAGCAGCAGTGCTTTATAGGAAAGGTGTGCTGATTTGGCAGCTATCGGAGAGGGTGTGGTGACAGGTGAGCATTCAAACATCTCCTCTAGAACAGATCTGCAGTTTAAATTTGGAGCTAATGCAGAGCGCCCTCCCATAGGAGAAGATTGAGAAGACACTGCACCTTGCGGCTGCCATATTGGACAGGCGGCAGCTTTGGATGATGCGAGGAGAGAGGTATAAGCGGCATTACAATTAGCTGGAAGAGAGTTGTTATATTAAGTTAGGATTTTCTTTGCATGGTCCATGTGATTTAGGGACATCACAAAGGTACTTATTTTTGCAGAACCTGTAGCAGCCTGAAATGGGGTTTAACATGTTCTAGTGATGACAATATTGGTTCTCCCTACAAAGTACATTCCAGTCTAGCAATAAAAAGAGCCAATATCAAGAAAATGTGGTGGAGATATGGCAGGTTTTGTGGTATATGAAGTTTGACCAAGTGTGAATAAACATATAATTGTGATGGGACCCAAAGCCCTTGTTTTTACCCTCTAAAAATGTTATGCTTGAAGCTACAATTAACCACACAACTTCCAGCCAAGGAGTGTCCCAACTGACACATTTGCAGTTCTAGATCACAGCATATATTTGCACACTGCTTGAAAGTCACTTAACCAATATAGGGCACAGCTGTGCTTGCAAAGCAGTGCACATACTAGTGAGATTACCTTTGTTCTCAATGCTGAGCAGCCAATAGACTTCTGATGAAATAAAACAGCCAGTAACATCCATCCTGAGGTGTATTCCCAGGACCATCCCTATAAATGAGGCAGTGGGGCCTGCCATCCCCTTTCAGGCCAGTTGTCCCAGGTTGCTAAGAGCTCTTAGGAACATGCGATGCTCTGGCCTGCATTCCTCCCAGTTTACTTACATCACTGGCTGCCAGGAGCTGAACTGGACGTTTGTCACCAGCACAGCGGTCACTGCAGGGGGGAACGCAAGGGGAAGATTTTATTGCCAGAGGCTCAGGGGACATAAATAATTATGTATTTTCTTGCTCTAGCATCTATGAGTAATTAAAACACAAGTTTTGGGAAGGCAGACTCTTAAATTTAACTCATACTAGTATATCATACAGAAATGATCCAAGTACTAAAATGAGAATCAAAAGCTCTAGGAAAGCAGCATTGTTTTACACTAAAATCCCCAATATATAAATTAATTTTATATTGGCTTTACGCTTCAGTCCATCACACACACATTAATACCTGCTAGACTGCTATAGATAAGATTGCCAGGAAGAGACAAGTCAGAGAGATTGCAACAATCAACCTTATGTTCCCCTGTGTTTAGCAGTAGAGGGAAGGATCTGACTTCAAGAATTATTATCAGACACACAGCTTAGTTCAGAAGAGGAGTGTGTGTAATTCAGACTCCTCCATACTGGATATTAACAAGAAGCATAATGAGAAAGTAATCCTTGCAGTGACCATGAACTTGTTTCAAGCGTCCTAACCCTGGCTAAGGTAAGCGTGGGAATGAGAGCAACGTTTCTGAACTGGTCTGAAAATATCTTTATGGCTAAATCAAGAATGCCGCATCAGAGCACTCCCCAAGCCTTTTATGTTGCATTTTCACTTACAAAGCATTTGCAAAATGCACAGAAATGTGCCTAGGCCTGCCAGACTTTTTGAAGTAAAAAAAGGGAAAATAAATCACCTAGGTTTGGCCCGCTGTGAGTACTTCTCAGTTACAAAACATTTCCTGTATCTGTTCTGTTGCTATGTCAAGTTTTAGCTCTATTCTCCTTTATAAAGATGTCCTATTATAGAAATGGTTAGGTGAAGCTGGCACTGCCAGACTGGTCCTGAAAAATGTCTTTAAGGCCGTATTATTTTCCTCCAGACCCTGACAGAGGCTGTTGTGTGTGGAAACCACTCTTGCCGCCAGCAAGGTCAGGTCTGGCTCGTGCAGTAGGCCTTATGGCATGCCATCAAATGCACAAATGGCGCCAAACATTCCCCACAGCAGTTTGCTGGAATAAGTTGACATCCTAAATACCATGAGCATTTTACAGAGCCTCATTGCGTGGAACGTAATAACAATAAGCCATATAGAGTTTCAGAAAGTACACTGCTCTCTATTCATAAGTTTTTCCTAGTGGTACTGTAAAACTACAACACTCAACTAAGCATCACGTCTTTTACAGTGCAGAGTATGTTCCATATTTTTCTGTCAAAGATAAATAAGATCTAAAAAAAATTCTTAAAGTGCTTCTTGAAAGGTGTATTTGGAACTGTACAAATATGAAAGAATATACAAACTGACTTGCTAGAGGCAAACTCGTATTTAAATGCAATTCCAAAACTGTAAGCTAAAGTCATAAACCAATTAATATTAGTTTACAAATGGCAGGCATTTTAAGAGACGGTGAAAATAAATGAAGAAAATGTTTTATGATGAGATATGTGATCTTGATGCTATAAGAGCAAGAGCAATTAGTTTAATTTTGTAAATATTCCGGATTGGAACAGCATCATTAAATCTTTAGAAAATTCTCCTGGGCAATAAACACAATCCCTACAACAGCGGAAAACACAAATGTTTATAGATGCTGCGACCAGATAGCAGCCATGCTGAGAGTTTTATGCTTTGAGATGATTTTTCAGACCAGATTTTTGCTTATGACATCAGGAAAACTATTTTGGTAAATAAGAGCATGCAAAAGAACAAAACACAGATTAGACCCATAAACTTAGAGCGAATACAAGCCACAATAACATAATCTACTGCTAATAAAAAGCATTCAATCCTCGTCTTTTACACTTTCTATTATTACAATGGGACTGTGCTGCCGTGTTCGGCAGACCTTAGAAGCCCCAGAATGCCTCCTAGGATTTTTTTTTGGCCTGGCCTGAGTGCTCAGTGATTACATTCCAATGCTTTACAATAAAGCTGTACCATTTTATAACTCTAGAGCCACATTAATATGACAAACAGTGGAAAGACATAAAAAGGCTTATTTTGTAAAGTGCCAAGTGAAGTAACCCCCAGGAAAATAAAGCAAGTAAACTTTCAGTGATATGAATGCGGAATATGACATCTGATGGGTTGCTATGGCTTGCTGTATTTTGCATTGTTTTACTGAAAAATCAGATGAGAATGAAAACAGCACTCACTAACTGTAATAGTGGTTTATGATGCAGTCATGTCTCCCTGCATAACAATGGAGCTTTGGGCCTGGCTGCAAGAATTAAAATAGTCACCAATGTTACTCTGACAATATTTTCTTTCTATTCTATTATTGGATCTGTTTTTGTAGTTTCACCACAGTGCTGAGGTTGCTTACCCCTGATCTACCTGTTTGGTACGCTCAGTGAGCCTTTCACATTACTGGAGCTCTCTGATCATAGAAAGGTTCAAAGGTTCAAGAAAAATACAGTGTGTGTACAAAATAAGTACCCAAAAAGGCGACACTTACAGTGTTGCAAGTTAAAATGAGGTTGTGGTATATTGCATCTCATGGTGTTACTTCTTTATCTGCAGATGTAACAAAGGAAGAGCATCAGGCCACAGGTGTCCTGGATGAACTAAGGACACAGTAAGGCAGGCCATACACTGTTAGAACATGTTATATTCAGTGCTGGCTTTTCTGGGAACTTATATTTTAAACCAAAATAAGAGATTTCAGAGGGAGAAGTTTAGTGAAATAAAATGTTAATTTACTTCAAGAATTTTCCTGCAAAAAGGGCATCATTACTAACAACCAGGTTAGTTTACTTTACTTTACATCCAGAACCAGTGGATGTAGTTTACTTGGATTTTTCTAAAGCATTCGATACAATTCCCCCAGCAAACACTTAGCTCACAAAGACCTATTGGCATAGAGGAAACTGTATATAGATGGGTAGAAAACTGGTTAAAGGAATGGGTCAAAAGGCTAGCGATAAATGTCTCACATTGTGAGTGGAGTACCCCAGGATTCAGTCCTGGGACCAATTCTGTTTATCTTGTTTATAATAATATAGAGTTTGGAATAAATAGCTCAACCTCAGCGTTCACAGATGATACCAAGCAATGGAGGGTAAAAACCACACAACAGGATATAGAACCACTTCAAGAAGACCTTGATAAAATTGAGGGGGTGGATAGCTACATGGCAGAGGAGGTTTATTATTGAAAAATGTAAGGTTATGCACCTGGAAGCTAAAGACATTTTTTTTATCTAAGATACTCATTAAATGGTACTCCTCTGGAAAAATAGAGGAGGAGAAAAGTTCTGGGGGTCCTTGTAGATCATAAACTCTGCAATAGCATGCAATACCAAGCTGCAACTAGCAAAGCCAGCAGACTACTACTTTCAGTTTTAATCACCAAATTAAATGTATCCACTTTGGAGAAGACAAGGTTAAAGTATTACTAAAGGCAGGTTTTTTTTTACCTTAATGCATTCTCTGCAAAACCGCCCAGTAACTTTCACTGTCCCCAGTTTCCCCCACTTACCTGCTAGTGCTGCTTGTCACCACCACAGGTCCATAAAACAATCCTCCGTCCAAACCTTCCTAGTTGCGGGGGAGGAGAATAAGGCCAGAGGAGCCATAGGCTTTTTCTGCCATCAATCAACCTGTTGGGCAGAGAGGAGGGGCATGGCCTGTCACAGGGCTGTGTGTCCATGGACACACACAGCCACTTGCGGGCATGGCCAAGAGCGAGCACGCATAGGTGCCTCCACAGAAGCTGCTTAGCTGATGACGGCACCTGTGCAGTGAGCAGGGGGAAGACTAGCAATTTTTCATGTGCTGCAAATATCTGTACAGCTTCAGAAGAAATTATTGTGCAAATAAATGTTTAAAAAGGTAAATATTTGAAGAACATGTACCTACCCAATACTTTATTTCCTGCTTGAATATTAAGACACCCCTGAAGATCTGAGAAAGATGTCAGAATGCAGGGACTCTTTGGGTGTGGCACTGTCTCAAAGGAAAGAAACACTTGTGTTGTTTGTAAAGTGATCTTCTGGAAAAAAGATGCTAATCTCCACATTCCTTCTTCAGATGATGAACAAGATTTTGAAGTTTCTTGGGTCAGAGTAACAGAATCCTTTCTACAGGCTGATGCCATATTTAAAGTCTCATCATGTGGCAGGAGTCCATCAGCTGACAATGCGATTTCTGGCGGAGGGCAAGCCCCAGTCTTCATGGTCCTTTCCAGAAAATGGTTAACCTGGTCCAACTTGACAAGACTCAAGTTGACTTTTAGGGGTCTTGATACATCAACGTTGACATCAACTGTTGAAATAAAACAAAACACAATATATTTGATCAGTGGACAATGCAAAGTTATTAATATAATTGTTGCTTTTATCTGCTTTAAAAACACATTCTCTCTTTCCAACAGATAGTGCAGTTATTGTAATGTAGTTTTTGCTCTCTAAGTATTTTTTCACCAACAGATAAAGGGGTATGATTTGGAACAGGTCCAATGTACATATATATGGGCTAGATTGTGACCCTAATTTATGTCTCAAGACTGAGGCAGAAGATGACAGGTGAAGTGTTAGTGCCCATTGTCATATACTGTACATATATATAGATATATATATAGATACCTGTATATTTATATATAGATATCTACATATCTATATATAGATATCTACATATCTATATATAGATATATACAGGTTTTAGCTCTATATATACACACTGAGTGGCCAGTTTATTATGACCACCTGACGTTTGTAGGCAAATTAGCTATAATTAGCTATAATTTTCGCGCTGAAGTTGCTGGAGGGCCAGACCATTATAAATAGGGAAGCAGGTTGTTTACCACCAACGTAGAAGTGATTTTCCTTGCCCACTTTTATTAAACGAAAGTTAACAAAAATAAAGCAATTACCCTTGCAGGGGTTCTTTAGCATCCCTTGGCAGCACATACCCATCCAGCTTCCTGGCTTTACATTTGCAGCACCGCTGCTCCGGCCTCAGACCTCTGTCTGTTCCTCCAGAGAGCCTTAGTCGCGTGCTCACCTGCACACTGGTGTTTTTTCCAATCCGCAGCACCCTGCTGCACTGGACTCCACTGACTCCTGGGGGGAGCCTTCCTGTCTCTCAGGTGGAGCCCTGAGCCCTTCCCAACACCTTTATTTTAAAGGCTGTGCACACCTGTGCCATCAGCATGCACTGGCCACTCAGATTATCATTATCCCATTTTTATAGGAAAAAAAAAATCCACACATATAGGCCTAATGATGTGAAGAGATGTGTTATGTACTCTAAAAGGTTAAGAGCTGGGGTGCCTCATTCATTCTGGTAATGGGAAACTCCATATGTACATGACCTGATCGTATTTTATATTGGTTACATGGATTGTATGATTAGTCTTAATAATAATACATTTTAGATTAACTGCTCCTTTTTAAAAATTGCATTTATCAAACTTTATGACATGGTTGGGTTTGGGAGTCTCAATTACGCCACAAAACAAATGGAAGGGAAAGATCTCTAAAGCAGATGAAGTAAAAAAAAAAACCATAAGAAACAAATGTTCGCAGGAAACTGTTCCCTGGAGTAGTAAAGTCACTTAGTGTTACAAAACTAACTTTTCCAGACTTTGTGATTACTCAAAAAAATACATTTCACCTTTCACACTTGGCAAAGACTCATCAATCAGAAGAAGGTCTACACGCCAGATGGGATTAGACAACAATACAGAGCAGGTTAGGAGTTCCTAAGAATCTTAATGTAAAGGGTGAAATAATGAAGAAGAAATCAGGTCAGTTGTAGACTGTACAAATCCAACCAGTTACTCAGATATCCGATACAACCATGATCCTTCAAGTATGTGGATATAAGAAAATATAGACAGATGTACATATCAAGTTAGGTCATAATGATAACTGTAGCATACATCAATTAATGTGTGATGGATAATGTTGAAGAAAAAAAAGCCACCCTCTGGATTTACCGCCAGTCAAATAAGGAAAAACCTCTCTTCAAGCAGCGACAATGACCGCTAGCTGACAGCAGTTATAACCGGGGCTCTGCATCCTGTCCTTGGTTTTGTCAGTGCTCCCCAAAGCTAAATGCATTTTTAATCCTAAAAGCCAAGACACCAATTCTCTGAGACTACAATTATATCTCTAGGCAGTTCAACTCTGCCCACTAACACTTCTCAACTCTAAGACATTCATAGCTACTGAACTGCAGATATGATTTTCTGCCAGTAGCTCTTATTCTCTCCATTTTGCTTACAATCCCATTGTAAGTTTTGCAGAGAATAATGGGAATTCAACATGAAAGATTAAAAGTCATTACTCATAGCACGGTTTCAAATAGTGTCCACATTTATTCCATTCAATGTATGAATGTCTGAGATATGTATTTAGCTACAAACCTATCTATAAGGGCAGAAGAACTTGGCCCATGTTCACTGAATTTCAAACATGGTGTTCTCAATGAGATGAATACATTTCTGCTCTCTTCACCAGATCTGGGGGCATCCATTCAGCCTGTGACCTGTGACTATAAGGAGTGGAACGCAAAACCATCCAGTCATCCAGTGGAGTTACAAGTATAGTCTTAGTTTATACAATAGGCATAAGAAACATTGAAAAACTGCACAACACAAGAAAGGTATAAGGGGTATTGTTATGGCCTTGTGGTATTAAATCAAATATATCTAGACACAAGAAATGAATGTAGACATTAAGTTCTACCTAGACAAATGTGTAAGTAATAAGTAAACAAAGTTTAATCTTTTTTTCCCCCTTTCTTTTTACGTATGGTTCTATTAGCAAAATATGTATAAATTATAGCGAAAATACATGTTATGCAACCAAAGTCCATAACCATAAAGATCACATAGCACAATGAACATGAAAGACTGAATTTGTGAATGTGTTTTTACATCAAATTTGTTTATTGCAGAATAGGAATTAGGTGAATACTAAAGACTCAATTCATACACCAGGATAAGTATACTTATTTTCACTAAGTGTCAGCTATTTTGAGTTAGGTTAATGAGTTAATGAGATTTCACAATTACAGTCACATGGTTAAAATAAATATATTTATCCTTGCATTAAAGCTGTGTGAATTGAGCCTCAAATATTGTTAAAATGATGAAAAGAATGAGAAAAAGAAAGAAGAATGAGGGAAGGCGTGGAGAAATGAAGCAGGGAGAGGGGTCATATAACAAGCAGAAATGAAAATAGTTTTCTTTAGAAACTTCTTAAATATCTCTTCCATTACACTTCTTTGGCTAGAATATGATTCAGAAACTTTCAGTGATATTCTTTTAAGGAAAATGTTATTGAGAATTTCAGGAGCGTAACAGATTCCTTAAATCTATCAATATGGCTCTCTATTTATTATATATTGTCCAATGGTTTCTCCCCCGACCAGGACAAAACATACCATAAGATTCTTACGATAGAATAATTTTACACCTCTTGATCTAGTGGTTACTATATTTTGATCTACTGATGCTTAATTGCTGATTTTGCTGTTAAAGCAAATGTCATAATCAGAACATATCCTTCTCCTGCAAACCATCTGCACGCATTGAACTTCTGTGCAGATTTTTGAAAAGTTTTCCGAGCCCCAAACCCAGGCACATTTGCTTACCCCTACTAATGATAACAAGGCATCATGTGACCTAAGCTGCTTAGGCTGGGAGCGCATAACCAACACTTTTTATTTAAATTTTGTTTAAATTTACATTTAGAGGTACTTTTTAGCGAAAAAAGTGATGTTAAGTGGTAGTATGGACCCATTGGTTCATGTACAAAAGTTCAACTAAAACCATCCTGTTGGCAGATCAGTTATGTTACACATTTCATTTACAAATATCCAGTGTGTTAACTCCGGGGGAAGGACTAAGCAACATATAAATTCAAGTAAAGAAAGAAAACTTGCAACATGCACTATCACTACCACTCTTAACAGCTAATTAAAATCTTTCAAAGCAGATGTAAGCTCTCTTAACTCCCTATAAACATGTTTTGCTTTCAAACATTGCACCATTTTAAAAGTTAATGTTTTTGGTAGGAATTCGATTTCCAGTAAGGAAAACACTGATTGTTTTTTAATTTTTTAACAGGATCTTTGTACTAAATATGGAATACACAAATGTTTATTATATTTAACTTGACTGAATTATATTTATGTATTATTTAGTGCTGCCATTTTTTTCTTTTTTCCAGTGTTTAACATTGATTGCAGGCAAGTACTGAACTGTTATCTTTCCCTTGTATGCATATTAACAATTGGGGAAATGTTTTGTTAAGTTACTGCAGCTGCCAAAGGCTTTAAACTATTTATTTAAAACATACTAAATTAGGGGGTACACTAAGCTGCTAAATTTATGTTTTAACCTGGTATTAAAACCGCTTCCAAAATATACCCATCACATTTAACATAATGAGGATTATTTGCAGCCAAAGGATTATAAACAAATCTTAGTAAGGGCCTGTGCCAATTGCCTTTGAGTTTGTGTTGATGGCATCAGTTTGAGATGTTTCCGAGACCATTGGGAGATCAATGACAGGTGCATCTGACCTGCAGTTGACCTCCTTCTGAGCTGCATTTGGACTTCCCCATGGTGATTTTTCATTTCCATAAACTTGTATGGGACTGCAAAAACAGTTATAGCAGGCTCCTCTCAAGAAGTTAGTTTATAGCTCCCTTTTATTTCTGCAATTCCTTGAACAAACAGGTGTAGGATGCAAGATAACATTTTAAAATGTATATTGCAGAAGTTCTCATATTGCATATATAGTATATCATATATACAATTTTATTGAGATTTAACAAAACTCATAATGTAAGGCCCTAATTAAACAATCCAATCAATTTGTTTTCAATCAGCTACGCCCTTGCACTAAAAAATTGTTTGTAATTCTAAGGAGATTGTACTTTGTATGGTTAGTATAACTGTTAAGCAGACCCTACAGCTGGCCACGGGCCGAACGAGAGAAATCAATCAATTTCTCCATCTATGCTAAACAGCATAGGTGAAGGATTTCCCCTGTTGTCTGTTGTGTTCAGCAGCTGGCGGACCCCTGTGTGCTTAACCCCTTTGTGACTGACAACGTACAGTGTACGTCGCCAGCATCGAGGCTGTTTAAGCACACTCTGTTTAAACTTGTAAAGCCGACTGTCGGCTTTACAACAGAAGCGATTCTGGCGACTTACCTGTCGCCAGATCGCTTCTGTGTCCCGTAGAAGGGGCCGCCCCTCCCCCGCCGCCGTGCTTCCCGGGCTCCGTTGCCCCTCCTACGGGCCTGGGC